ATGACAGGTGTGGGGGTTATGTAATTAATAACTGGAAGAGCTTAGCAGAACAGCTTGCTTTGTTCCATAGACATAACTTGAAAGTACCCCGTGGGAGGCTGAGGTGGGCAGATCACTTGAGGCCAGGATTTTGAGACCAGCCTGGCCAACATGGCAAAACTGTGTCTCTAGTAAGAATACAAAAATTAGCTGGGCGTGGTGGTGCACACCTGTAATCCCAACTACTCAGGAGGCTGAGGTACAAGAATCACTTGAACAACCAGGAGGCAGAGGCTGCAGTAAGTATAGATCACACCACTGCACTCCAGCCTGGGTGACAAGGGTGAGACTGGGGAAAGAAGGAAGGAAGGAAGGAAGGAAGGAAAGAAGGAAGGAAGGAAGGAAGGGAGGGAGGGAAGGAGGGAGGGAGGGAGGGAGGGAGGGAGGGAGGAGAATAAAGAGTAAAAGAAAGACAGGAAGACAGGAAGGAAGGAAAGAAGGAAGGAAGGGAGGGAGGGAGGAAGGAAAGAGAATAAAGACTAAAAGAAAGACTGGAAGATGAAGGGAAGGGAGGGGAAGGGAGGGGAGGGAAGGAGAGCGGAGGGGAGGGGAGGGAAGGGAAGGGAAGCTGACACCACACAAGGCTGGGCTGCCAGAGCTCCAGGCCCCCAAGAGGCTGCCATTCAGCCAGGTTCCAAGAGCTGGACTGCCAGGCACAGGGGCCATTGGAGCCAGAGGCCCAGGGGACAGAGCCAGCCCTGCCAGATGCCCAGCTCTGCCCAGTAGAAAAAAGGAAAAAAGAAAAGAAAAGAAGGCACCCTGATGGTCATCTGCAAGCAACAGAGACACTGAAGTCAGTGGCCAAATACTCTAGCCTCCTTGTCATCCAGGCAGATGATGCCGAGGGCTGTTCTACAAGATTTCTTGGTGGACGCCTAGCTGGACTGAGCCTCAGTTGCCCATGGCAGTGATTGGCCCATCAACATACCTTAATGTTGGCTTCTTTCCCTTTCACAGTTTGCTTTCCCCATTTCTTCACTCCTATTTTCTGGAATCACCTCTGAAAAAAAATTACCTACATCCGAGCTCTTGTCTCAAGATCTGCTCTTAGGAGAATCCATACTGACAAGGGCATCCTCCAATCCAAAAGCGAGTCTGAGCAGGTTGTATTACCCCTGGGAAATCATGCTTCCATTCTCCTGCATCTGCAGCTGCTCTCAGCTAAGAAGCTCCTACATGAGACCCTGAGAACATTTATATTTTCAGGAGTTCTGGGTGATTGGGCCTGTGTGTGCCAGAAAGGCCACGTGACTGGTTGGTGGCTGGGTAAACAGAATCCCTGGTTCCCACCTCCTTTGCTGGCTTGTGGGTGGGCACACAGCCAGGCCTAAAGGTACCATGCACACAGAAACTTACACTTTCTCTCCCACTCTTGCTATTTCACAGTCGTGCACACACATTTTGCATTAAGAAGCAAATCTACCCCTCTGTGGACAGGGTCACACCCCAGCAAGAGTTCCCCATGGGCTGTGAGAAGGAGAGGACCATCGGGAGGGATCTAGGCAGGAGGAGTCTCTTTGGAATTCTTGTATGAAAAGGTTTGGGGAACACAGATCATCCACTCTCACAGAACTAGTGGGACTCCTCTATGGGTACAGTCCAAGGGGTCAAAGCATTGTATGGTCAGTCCTGAAAGGGGTCATTTAGAACTCTGAATAATTAAACTTTCAAATGATTGACCAGTGGGAGGGATGTTTTTCTGAAATCGTGCCATCTCAACAGATGGGCAGGCCTCATCAGGTGCAGTGGATGGACAGAGTGTGGGGCTGCAGTCAACCTTTGATTTCTGGCTTCTGTCTGAAAAACTGATTTTGTTTTGACCAGTCAGGCATTCATTCAGCAAACTTGTATTGAGCACTTGACCCAAAGATGACTGAAACCAACCCCCTTCTCTCACGGTTCCAAAATTAGTCATACATTTGATTTAAAAGTAGATGTGATTTCTTTTCCAGGAGAGTCTTGAAGGACTTCTGACCATGTGAGTAAGGACACTTTTCGGAGATGGATTGGGAGTGAGAACAATGCTTAAAAGGAGGTATAAGGGAGGAAATGGGGGGGGGGAGACTATGGAGAGGAGGGATAGAAAGAGGGGCATCCTCTGAAACCCCAAACAGTGAGGTCTTTTGTACTCTAACCCTGCCCATCACATGGAACAAGGGAACATGTTAGCTACGAAAGCCACCACTTCAGGTCCTAGATGGCTGCTGTTTTGAGGTACCCACCTACACCCTCCAGAGAAAGAACTGCCCACCCACACGGTCCCACCACTTGCATTTTGCCTAGAGCAGTGGGGAGTGGGAGTTACAGGGGGATGAGTAGACCCCTGTGCATCACTAAGCAAAGAGGATCAGGGACTAGCAGGTGAACCTCCAGCTGGAAGCACCAGGAGGACAAAAACTGCAATTTCTTCCTCAAGGGGGACATGGGACAACCCGCTGCAGGGGACAGAAGAGCAGGATCCTGCCATATGTTGTGGAAACTGCAAGGCCAGATTCCACCTGTCCAGTCCCCAAGGGAAAACTTTCTCCATGACCCTAAAAAACCAATTGGGCTAGTTAATGACTCAGCAAAATTTTAGTAAGATGAATCTCCCTAAAAACAGCAACTGGACACGGCTCCTCCTCCTGCATTCATTCTCTCATTCTCTTTCCCTCTCACCCCTAGTTTTCGCAAGAATAAAACACATGAAGTGAGCCACCCCATCCTCTACCCTACAGCCTGTTTGGACTAGTAAATTACTAGTCAACCTTTCTAAACAAACAAAACGGGTTTCCAAACACAGGGGAAAGGAAGGAAGCCAAAAAAAGGAAGAACGAAGAAAAGGAGCTCAGCCCTTCCTTCTCCGTGGAGCCTCCCCAGCCCACCAGGGAGCATCACCTCCACCAGTAGCCATGGCAGACCCACTGTGTGCCAGTCACATATTAGGTCCTGGGAGATAAGGATCCTGCTGAGGAAGGGCTCACATGCCTCTGGCGGTTGGGGTAAGAAAATATGCAAATCAGCAAGGACCTTGAAGGGAGCCTAGTGCTGAGAGGGAAATGGGTACAAGGAACAGGTGGGAATTCCCAAGGAAAGTGGGGCAGAAAAAAGACTTTATTAAAAAATGATTTTGTAAATACTTTATTTTTTTTTAGAGTAGCTTTAGGTTTGCCACAAAAGTGAGAGGAATGTGCAGAGGTCCCCTCTAGCCCTTCCCCTTACGCATACATAGCCTCCCCCATTATCAACATTCCCCCACTAGAGCATTTATTACCACTGATGGACCTACACTGACACATCATTATCACTCCAAATCCATATTTACATTAGAGTTTGCTGCTGGTATTATGCATTCTATGGGTTTAGACAAATGTGTCACCACATGTTTCCACCATTATAGTATCAGACACAGTATTTTCACCCCCCTAAAAAGCATCTGCGGATTTTTAGAGAAAAAATGTTGCTAGGTAAGTGTTGCTTTCCTAGCAGGGGAACAGCAAGAAACAGGAGTCACTTTGGTGACTACCGAGGTGAAACACCACGGTGCTGTTCTGCAAATGGCTGGAAAATAAGGCTCAAGGAGCCAGATGGGGCCGAGAAAGAGAAAAAGACAGAAACACAGGCAGATTTGAAAACCGTGAGACTAGATTTGCATGAGAAGGGATTGAGACTTCTGCAACAGCACAGGGGAGAAATGAGGGGGGCTTTTAGACATAGTGAGAGGTATGAGCAAAGCAGAGTTGAAAAGCCTCCTGGTAACTGCTATGATTGACAGCCAGGAGGGCAAGGTTCCCCAGCACAGCCCTGGCACAGGCAGCTCTAGAGGTCTCCCACTCCCTTCCTTTTGCCAGTCTCCACCCTTCTCTCGCTTTGGGGGACTGTGATCATTGGGTGGCAGATGACTTCTTGAGACGTTCACTAATGTTTCCCTCTTTACTTCCTCCGTGCCTTCGTGGTTAATGGTTTGCCAAAGCAGAAGGAACATGCCTGTAGGCGCTTGCCATGGTGACTTTTGCTTCCCAAAGTTAAGCTACTGAGCCGTTTATGGTTTGTATGACGGGGTCTCAGAGGTTAAGAAAAGGAAGGAGAACTTCTAGGGGATACATGGGGACTGAAGAAGAGGGGGCAGACATTTCTGCAAGCCCTGAGCTGCAGTGCACACACACTCAGCTGTGGAGCTTCACAGCCATTCCATCTGCAGGCTCCCAGCCTCTCCAGAAACTTCCGTGCCCCAGGAGTAACAGAGACAAGGCGACGGGAACAAGACAGTATCTGCGGAATACACTGCCTGCTAAAGACAAGAGAGGACTCCCCAGATCCTTGTATTAAACCCTAGGCCTTGGTATTGCAGGAAGAGCTTAGCTTCCCAAAATCGGAGGTCAATTTATTGTCTGCCCTGTAGAATGGGAGCCAGAGTTTGAGGAGTGGATGTAAACAAGGAATGCACTGTTTCTCGAACATACCTCTCTTCACTATCTGGGCAGAGTCTAAGTCTGCACCAAGCATTCACCGCTCAGCTGAATGCTAGTTCACCTCTCAGCTGAATGCCATCACCAAGGTGCTAGGATTCAGCTGAGAGGCTGCAGCAGCGGAGGCAAATTGAGGAGGGTGCGGTGCGCACCGTCTCCCCATCAAACTAATGGAAACCCAGGTGACCATCCTTGTGTCCCCGAGGACTGTCAAGTTGGCTGCTAGGAAGGAGGTGGCGTTCCAAGCTTTAACTTTTAAAACTACTTGTAGGTAAGCAAAAATACTAAACCGTCAATGGAAAAAGTCTGTCCGGCGTAGCTCTAACCCGGCACAGCGCCAGCGGGCGTGGCAACAGCACCAGCGGCGCGCCGCGCGTGCGCACTACACACTCTGAAGCCGCCAAGCCCGCCGCGAGGTGGGCGGAGGCTGCCCGGGCATCCGGGTCCCTCGCCCCGCCCCCGCTGCATGAATGAGAGGCGCGGCGCCCGCCCCTCCCCCGCCGGGCCCGCCCCTCACGAGGGGCTGCCGAGCGCAGTCAGCCGCCGCCACCTCAGCTGCGCTCAGTCCCGACAGACCCTCGCCGCCTGCAACCCGCACCCCGCTGCAGGACGCTGACGGTTCCGCACGTCTGGCGCTGTCGCCGGCGCGCCCGAGTAAGTGAGCGAGGGAAGGCGGGGGCGCCGTGGGCCGCCGCCCCCGCACTGGGGTTTGGGGAACCCAGCCGGTCCGGGTTCGGGATGCTGAAGAAACCGCGGGCCCGCGCCTACCTCCCCCCACACACTCTGGGCGCCTTGGCGGGCCGGGCGCGGGGCGCAGGGGTGAGGCGGGGGCCCCAGGCTGAGGAGGGACGCGCAGGAGGGTCCGGCGCGACCCGGGGACTGGAGGGTGAGTCCCGCTCAAAGGGCAGAGCGGGGCTGTCACCGGGAGACCACAGGGAAGGTGCGCGGGCCCCCGCACGTCCTGCTTGCCGGAGCCTCGGCGTCGGGTTCCCGGGCGTGGGAGGCGGCTGGGGTGAGCTGGGAGGCGAGGAGGAGGATGGCGGGGACGCTGCCTCCGCGCCGGCGGTGGGCGCGCGCCTTGGGGGTCGCGGCGTGGCGGCGTTCTCCTGGTCCCGGTCCACTCCTCCCCTTCTTTGTGGCGCTTGTCTCGTACCCCGTTGTCACAGTGTGTATGGCAGTGGTCAGGGTGGAGACCTCTTCCCTCGGCTTGCTCATTAATGAGAGTCACCATCTGTGGGCAGGGGGGCGTGTGTGCTTCCACAGGCCGGAGAATTAGGGACCCTCCTTTGTTTCTGGAGACCTAATGGGTGTGTGTGTGTGTGTGTGTGTGCGCGCATGCAAGTGAGAGGGACACCTATGAAATCAGAGATTGTCAACAAGGGTATAAGGAAAAGAGGAGGGGATAAAACTTCATCACACCTTTACCCAATTCTTTGTCTGATGTTATTTCAAACAGCAGGGTTTTTTTCTCACTGTAAAACCATTGGGTTTTATTGATTGGAAATGTGCGTCTAAATTCTTATATAGCTGTCTCTAGAATACTTTGCCTTTCGGTGCTTAGTTAATGGTTAAGAGTCTCATGTCTGTCTACATGGGAATACTCGAACGTACAGAACAGTGTTTTCTGGGTTTAGTTCATTGATAATTTGCCTGTATGCTCATAAACATGTCTATAGGAATACTCCAGTGTATCTGGGACAGTTTTCTCCGCTCCTGACTACAGGCAGATTTTGTTTCTTCCTGCCTCCCTGTGTTAATAAGAAGGTGGTCCAGCAGGTTCTCTCCACCTCCTTGCTTTTTTTTTTTTTTTTTTTTTTTTTCCTAGTGCTTTGGCAGAGGGTTTTATTGCATATTACCCTGGCATGCGCCCTTGCTTTGATGTGAATTTTCCTGTGTTCTGTTGTCTGGTTGTACAGCCCAGCTCAATGGCTCCTCTTACAGGACTACTGGAAAACAGAACACCTTTTTTCATTGTCCTCATCCCCAGAGAGAAGGAAGCTCTGTAGGTTCCCACAGACGTTGGCTCTGTCAGACTGCCTGCCTGACTTGGTTGTGCTGATAAAGTTATGAAGAGTTGCAGCTGATGTAGACCAATTAAAAAGAGGCTGTTGAGATAGCAACCTGCTCTTCCTTGATATTTTGTTTTTAAAACAAATGATATGAATTTTGCAAGATAGTTGTTAACTCTGGTTGCATGATGATTTTCAGTTTCTTGTTTACCCTTATGCTTTTAGGGTATTAGGAAATTAGGTAAACTCAGTTGTAAAAAAAAAAAAAAAAAAAAAACACACACCTCCATGATATTTTTATTATGGGCCGGGCGCAGTGGCTCACAGCTGTAATCCCAGCACTTTGGGAGGCCGAGGTGGGTGGATCTTTTGAGGTCAGGTGTTCGAGACCAGCCTGGCCAACATGGTGAAACCCTGTCTCTACTAAAAAATACAAAAAATTAGCCAGGTGCAGTGGCAGACGCCTGTAATCCCAGCTATTCGGGAGACTGAGGCAGGAGAATCTCTTGAACCCTGGAGGCAGAGGTTGCAGTGAGCCGATATCGTGCCATTACACTCCAGCCTCGGCAACTAGAGTGAAACTCCATCTGAAAAAAAAAAAAATTTTTTTATTACGATCTTTTGATTCAAAACAGCAGTTTTAAAAAATTAAGAGGTGCTTACATTGGATGACATAAATAATTGTATGAGTTCTATTTTCCTTTTTAAGGTTTTTAAAAAATCACGTGTATTTTAATTCCTAGTAGTTTTCAATGGAAAATGAAATGTAAAGCAGTCTTCCACAGGATCTGTTTATGTACATTCCCTCTGTTTAAAACATTTGCTTTTAATTTGAAGGGGAAATTTTCCATAGTTGGATCAGGATACATTATTATTGTTAAATTCTTACCTTATGTTACCAGGTTCAAATTCTTTTTTTGAAAGAGTAAAAAGAATTTAGTAAAAGTTGATTTTTCAATTGAGGAAGTTTTGGTTTTATAATGCATGATTTAAATAAAATCTTACTATCAATTTAATTCAGATAAGTTAATTTAAAACAAGAGCTTTTATGAAGGAAAAATGAAGCAAGAAAAAAAAAACAAGACCTTTATTAACTAAAGTCGCTAATGTTGAAGCGACCCAATACATTTATAAACTGCCTGACTTGACTGCGTAAGACATTTTTTAGGTGTCCCCTTAAAACAAACCATAAGGGGAAGTCTTCGATAAACAGAGTAGTATAACCGGAATTATCACTGAAATAGGCTTGCACAGTAGCGCAATTTCATGGAACTTTAATTTTGCAAGAGTGACTTAGCTATTTTTAATATCAACAAAGGAACCTAAATACAGCCTGGCCTTGTTATTCAGGATTCTGTTAACCAAAATATTTGCCAACCCATAGTTTAGCATTCTGTAGTATGATGATTAAAGAAAAATTCTAAACTAACTTTTAGATCATCAAAATAGATAAAATAATGTTAAGTGCTGTCTCAATGGTAAATATTTATTCATTAGAATAGTAATATTATGTTAGTGATGGTAAGAGAATATATGATAACACTTTGTTAACTAGGATCTATTAATCTCCCAGTAATGTCGCATAATAAAAAGTAATTTTTTTTTCCATTGAGCATTCTCTATCAATAATTTGTTTTTGTTTTTTGGGTTCTCTTTTTTGAGATGGAGTCTTTCCCTGTCCCCCAAGCTGTAGTGCAGTGGTGTAATCTCAGCTCACTACAACCTATGTCTTCCGTTTCAAGTGATTCTAGTGCCTCAGCCTCCCAAGTAGCTGGGACTCAGGCAAGGACCACCACACCTGGCTAATTTTTTTTTGTATTTTTAGTAGAGTTGGGGTTTCGCCATGTTGGCCAGACTGGTCTTGAACTCCTGTCCTCAAGCCATCCACCCTCCTTGGCTTCCCAAAGTACTGGGATTATCGGTGTGAGCCACCTCACCCAGCCAATAATTGTTTACTGCTTTAAGTGGGAGTTTATTCTAAAGATAAGTAATATTATTATTATCATGTGTTAGCTTGAATCATATGAAATTGCCATGTTTTAGTTTGAGAAATGATCAAACTCAGCAGTCTTATATGGTTCAACCACTCTCAACTCTTACTGGTTTCTTTTGGTATTTGCCTTTATATTTCTTTTTTTCTTTTTCTTTTTTCTTTTTTTTTCTTGGTCAGCACCAATACCTTTATATTTATTTCATTTTTAATGTTTATATTGCTGTTTCTTAGTTTTTCACTTTTCGATATTATCTGTGGACTTCTGTTTTGGAAGTTGAAGACTTAACTGTCTCACATAACCATCCTTCCATTTCCCACTCGTACTTGACAGTTAAGTCGGTATTCAGTATACATGTGACTGACAGTGTACCTATTATTCACAGATGGGCCACATAGGGTACTGTTACAGTATTTTCTTCTTGTACAATGTTTATTGCTCCTGAATTAAATAATTGCCTCTTTTGTTTGTTTGGTTTTCATTTGCTGAGTTTTCTCTGTATCGGTCACTAATTTATCCAAACTCTATGACAAAACTGATTATCTTTGAATAGTCTGAGATAATTGCTCACTTTCATATCTTTTCCCCAGGAGATGGTCCTACTGGAGCCCACTGTCTCCTATTCCAGTCTGGACTGGTTTGCTCCCTGGACTACTGCATAGCCATCATCCTGGGACTTCCCTTTGTCATCATCTTGGGAACTCCCTCTGCCTTCCTCCAGTGTTAGGTCTTCTTTTTCCTGGACCCTGTGTCTTCCTTATTCTTGAGTACCTTCCTGAGAAAGGGTACATACAAAATCTGAAATTCCTTCCTGAATTCAGAATTTACATGTCTGGAAATGCCTTCATTTTACCTTCACATTTGGATGGTAGTTTAGCTTGGTGTTAAATTCTGGATTGAAAATTAGCGTCACCGTTTTGAAGACATTGTTCTGTTAGCTTCCACTGTCACTATTGAGAAGTCCAATATCATTTTAATCTCCATTCCCTTTTTCTACCCACTCTGGAAAATTTTAGGATCTTCAGTTTATCCCTGGTGTTCCTGACATTGCATGATGTACCTTAGAATAGATCTTTTTTCTTTCCTTTTGCTTGTGGGGTAGATTGTATTTTCTAAAAATGGCTGTACATATATGTGTGTGCATACTCCTCCCATCTTACCCAATATGCTATTCTTTGTGGTGTTCTTGTGCCTCTGTCAAGCAGTGGGATCTTTGTTTCCTCCTCTTTAATGTATGCAGACATGAAGTCTCCTCCGAATGTTTTGGGTCTTGAGCATTGTATTTTAAGAGCACACATAGAAGATCAAGAACATGCACCTGGCACTGCTAGGTGCCCAGAGCCATCAGGCCAGCATCTCCCTTCCCATTTGCCTTGTGACCACTGTTCAGACATTTTGAGATTAAGCATTGTAGATGTGTATGTGTTCATTGAGAGGGGGGGTTAAGTTTTTTTACTTTTAAATGAAATCAGTGAAAATATCAATTAACATCACAGAGTTTCAAGTAGTGAAATGAATCAACATGAAGGCTGTCAGGTGCGTTTTTAAAAAATCTACCTTAGGAAATGACAGAACTATTCATGACCAAACAGAAACTATCTTGAGCTCCATGATTAAATATGTCATTATTAAATGTGACAAATATATTGTTTGG